GCAATTCTTCCATCAAGGAATCTTCATGTAAGACTGAGAGAACTCTGAACCTTGGCGCCACAGGGTCACAGCACAGCATGTGGATGCTTGCTACAGGCTGTGAAGAAGAAGGGACACGTGAGCCAGTCAGCCAGCCAGCATTGTCTTTGCTAGGCCCAAGGCTGTCTGCTTTTCTTCTTTCCACCTTCCCTCAACTGTACGTGCACCAAAGGGTATATGGAGTTTTATATCTCTTTGGGCATAATTCGACATTGCTCTCTGGAATGGTTGGATCAGTTGACAGTTCCACCAACAGTTTATTCATGTCCCAGTTTTTCCACACCCCCTCCAACATTTGTTATTAACTCCTATCATTTTAGCCAATCTAATAGATGTGAGATGGTATCTCAAAATTAATTTTAATTTTCATTTCTCTAATCAATAATGATTTAGAGCATTAAAAAAATTTTTTTTTGGGGGGGCTTTTAGGCAATTGGGGTTAAGTGACTTGCCCAGGGTCACACAGCTAGTAAGTGTCAAATGTTTGGTCTGAGGCCGGATCTGAACTCAGGTCCTCCTGACTTTAGGGCCGGTGCTCTATCCACTGCGCCACCTAGCTGCCCCATTGTGCCACCTAGCTGCCCCATTGTGCCACCTAGCTGCCCCGATTTAGAGCATTTTTCATATGACTATATATAGCTTTGATTTGGTCATCCCAAAACTATGTGTTCATATTCTTTGACCATTTATCAATTGGGGAATGACTCATATTCTTATAAATTTGACAAAGTTCATCATCTTTTTTTTTTTTAAATAGATAGTAAGTAGGGAATTATAATCTGCCCTCTGGGACTGTGATTGGCTATGGCATTTAATCCGTGTCATCAGATCTTTTAATACTGTTTTTGATCAGTGTTATTGTTATCATTGTGTATATTTTTCTTGTGGTCTGCTCTCTTTGTTCTGTCAGTTCATACAAGTGTTTCCAGGAATTTGAATTCCTCATGTTCATCGTTTCTTACAGTGTAGTAATATTCCATTACATTCTTATGCTACAGTTTATCTAGAAAATTCCAGCAGATGGGCCCACTTCCCGCAGGACTTTTTGTTAGTACAAAAAGTACTGTTAGGACCATTGCTCTCCTTGGAGTTGTGTGCCCAGTTAGATAGGATCGTGGGGTCAACCCATGCGAATGTTTTAGCAACTTTTTCTCATACTTATATTGTACAGTAGTTGGATACATTCACAGCATAACATGAGTGTATTAGTGTGCCCAGCTATCTTTTGTCATCTTTGCAGTTTGTTGGGTGTCATTTGAAACTAGAATTTATATTTCTCTCAATTAGTGATTCGGAACATTTTTTTTCAAATGGTTTTTGATCATTTTTTAAAAAATTGTTCTTTTGTAACTTACCTATTAGGAAACTGTTCTTAATCAATTACATATTTGTATCCCCTTTATGTCTTTAGAGATTTATTAGTAGTGTTTGATATAAATATTTTTCCCCCTTGGCAACTTCTCTTCTTATTCTAGGTGCATTGATATTGTTCCTGCCAAAAAAAATTAATTTTATGTAATTGAAATTGTCCTTTGCCTTTATTCCATTTTTGTTTTTTGATTCTTATCAACAGTTGTGAAAGACACTGTCTTCTTTTCATTTTTAAAATGATGTGACTGTTTACATTTTGGGAAGCTAGGTGGCATAGTGGTTAGAGCACCAGACCTGGAGTCAGGACGAGCTGAGTTCCGATCCAGTCTCAGACACTTACTAACTGACCCTGGGCAAGTCACTTAATCCTGTTGGCCTCAGTTTCCTCATCTGTAAAATGAGTGGGAGAAGGAAATGGTAAACCACTCCAGTATTCTTGCCAAGAAAACCCCAAATGGGGTCATGAAGAGTCGGACACGACTGAAACGATTGCAACTTTTTACCACAAAATTTGTACTAAAGTTGCAACAAGTATTTTTAATTCCCCTTTTATAAATGAGCAGACAGATCCAGTGACTCTTCCATGTTGACAATCTCATAAGTCAAGGAGAGGCGGGAGAGGTTCCAGTCCTAGTTTCTCTTCACTCTTAAGTCCGTTTTCTATTCACAGTACCAGGCTCTTAAGAAAAAAAAGAGTATATATCATTCTTTTAAAACTTGGATCAAGTGTAGAGGGTGGAGGTTTAGTGGGTTGTACTTGTTGAGAGAGGAAAAGCACTATTGACAGTCCAGCAGTCATAGCTTTTCCTCTGGGCTCTTGAGGTGTCATTTACTCTTGTGTTGAGCCTACATAGAAGGCCAAGAGGAAAACGAAAAACTTTAGTTGTGATTTGGTTGCTTCTGTCTCTACTGAGTGTTTTGGTCCTTCTTAGAGAGCCACACCATCTGTCTCATTCAGCTGTAACTGGGCGTGAAATTGCATTGTAACTTTCTCCTTTAATGTTATCCTTGCACCAGCGACTTGTCTTGAGGAAACAAAAAGTTGTTATTTTAAACTCGTTTGCACTTCTCCTCTATAATCCTAAACTGTGATATGGTGTAGGGACTGGACAATTCCTTACTACCTACTATATGTTGTGTACCTCTATTGGTTGTTTGGTTTTTTTGGGGGGGGTGAGGCAGTTGAGTTAAGTGACTTGCCCAGAGTCACACAGGTAGTGTTATGTGTCTGAGGCTGGATTTGAACTCAGGTCCTCCTGACTCCAGGGCCAGTGCTCTACCCACTGCACCCCCTAGCTGCCCCACCCCTGTCAGTTTTACAAAGGGCTTTCTTCACAAAACCTTTGAAATGGATAGTTGAGGAGAAGTCATGCTCTGGAGCAAGTGCTCTCTCTCCCCCTACCCCTCCTTCTCTCTCCCTCTCCCTCCTCCTCTTTCTCTGTGCACAAATGAATTACATTCATTCATAAACACTATTTTGTTCAGCCGTTTCCCCCACTGGTGGACATCCCCTTAATTTTCAATTCTTTGCTACAACAAAAAGAGCTACTATATAAATATTTGTGTTTGTGGGGCCTCTTTTCTTTTTCTTTATAGGCCTAGTAGTGGTATGGCTGGGTCAGAGAGTATGAATTGTTTAGTAACTCTTTTTAGTTTCAAATTACTTTCCAGATGTCTAGACCGATTTATAGCTCAGCCAACAGTGCGTTACTGTGTCTGTTTTCCCAACGTTTGTCATTTTCTTTTTTGTTAACTTTGCTAACCAACCTAATAGGTATTAGAAACTGAGTTGCTTTAACTTGCTTTTCTCTAATTATCAGAGAGTTGAAGCATTTTATCATATGATTATTTTTAGCTTGGTTTTCTTCCCTTTAAGAGCTAACTTGTTCATATTCTTTGACCATTGTCACTTGGGGAATGGCTCTTATTTTTGTAGATTTGAATCAGTTCCTTTTTTAGCTTGGTAATGAGACCTTTATCAGTGAAACTTGCTGAAAAGATTTTTTCCCCAGTTAACTTGTTGGCTTTCTAATTTTAACTGCATTGGTTTTGTTGGCAAAAAAAATTTAATTTTACGTAATTAGAATTAACTACTGTATCTTGTCTATCCCTTGTTTGGTCACAAACTCATACCCTATCCATAAATCTAAAGGGTAGTTTCTTCTTTGTACCTCTGATTTGTTTATGATGTTTGTCATATATTCATTTTGATTTATCTAAGTATATATAATGTGAGAGGTTGGCGTGTACCTAGTTTCTGCCACACTGATTACTTCATATTTTTTAAACTACTTTTAAGTTTTCCAGCAGTTTTTGTTAAATAGTGAGTTCTTAATCCAGAAGTTGAGGTCTTAGGTTGCCCAGACATGAGGCTTCTGGGCTCTTTTGCTTCTGTATATTGGGGCCCTTGTCTGTTCTATTGATAGACCTCTCTGTTTCTTAACTATTACCCAGTCATTTTGGTGAAACTGCTTTGTATTAGAGTTTGGGATCTAATACTGCAAATTCAGTTTCATGGAATCTTTAGAGATGCTTCTCAAATTGCATGTATTAAGTGTGAAAGTACATATCCTTAAATGTGATTGAATATGTTTGATGGAAGTTGATGTGATGTAACCCTCTGTGGTAGGAAGACCTAGATCTTTCATTTGTCCTTAGACCTGCAAATGACTGATGGCCTAGGAAAGCTGGAGTCTTCATTTTATCCCAGGATGCAGGGTCTTTAAGGGACGATCCAGGTCTCGGCCAGTGTGGAGTCCAGAGGGCTTCTATGAGCCAGACATAAATGGCCGTGAGGAAGGATCCTCGGAGCTTGGGCTGCTATTTGAATCTTGCCTCTGTTGTTGCTAAGTGAGCTGTGATCATGGGCAGCCTATTTCACCTGCTGGAGCCTTAGTTTCCTCATCTATAAAATTGGGCCAGAACTTGCACTAGCAACCTCATGAGGTGGTTGTCAGCAAATTGCTTTGTAAACCTTAAGAGTTCTGCATAAATGAGGTACTATTTTTTCTTGCCCCTGTTAAGCAGTTTGACTCCAGTCAATTTTATTTTCAAATTTTGTGGATGATAAATATATTCTTCACTGTTCAGCACTAGTAGCAACTCTGCTTTAGATATTTCATAGGCATTGTCTTTGTTCCTGTGGAATGGAGAAATAAAGGCTTTTTAAAGGAAGTTTGTAAGTCTAATATTTTTGAATTAAACATTATTTAAATGGCTACTGAGAAGTCCTGAGACCGGAGGGAGATTGTCTTGGAAAGTCCAGAGAGTAATTAATCTTTTTGTTTAAAAATTGCCTGGTTTGGTGGTTCACAAATTGAGAGGGCTTTGGTTGTGGGGGGAGGATGTGAATTGGGAGATACAAAGTGTGGTCAAAGGGCTGCCTTTGAAGTTTTGGTTGGAGATAGTTTTAAACACTGGATTTATATCAAATGGCTTAGTTCAGGTTTAAAAGCAAGCTTTGCATCCATTTTCCTTGAGTCACCCAGGAAAGGTTTTTCATTTTCAGTTTTTAATGCGCCCTCTATGTGGGGACACTTACTGTGACTCATTTTCACAATTACAAGTCCTTTTGTAAATCATGTTCACAGCTGGAGAATGCTGGAGGGGACCTCAGTGATGGCGGACACCACTACGAAGGGGCTGTTGTCATTCTGGATGCTGGTGCTCAGTATGGGAAGGTCATCGACAGGAGAGTGAGGGAGCTGTTTGTCCAGTCGGAGATCTTCCCTCTGGAAACGCCAGCGTTTGCCATCAAAGAGCAGGGATTTCGGTAGGCTATGTTCCAGGGTCGTGCGGGGTGTTTCAAGAGCGTGGGAGGTTGGACGTGACTTATTTGTTTGATCCTTGTAGATGCCCCCATGCTGTGCTCTGGGAGGTTTTGTTCTGAATTTGTCTGGGCCCCGAAATTTTCTAAGAAAACAAGTGATTTATCAGAAATGTCTAAGAGGTTACTCTTTTTTAAAAGCAAAGACAATCTAGGTTTATCTGTTTATTTAATTTTTAAAGATGTCCTCAGTTCTCATAATTAGACCTCTTTCATGGACAAGCTGAGGGCAGCTGGTGACCCAATAGGTAGAGCCCTGGTCTTGGAGTCAGGAACACCCGAATTCAAATGTGACCTCTAAGACTTAGCTGGGTGACCCTGGGGAAGTCACTTAACCTTTATTTGCTTCAGTTACTCATTTGCAAAAGGGGAATAGCAGCCTCTCCCTCCTGGGGTTGTTGTGAGGATCAAATGAGATAATAATTGTCAGGTGCTTAGCACAGTGCCCAGTGCTATAGAAATACTTATTCCCCTCCCCTTCCCCTATTTCTCTGTGTTACATTGCATTTCCTATGTTTTCTTGTGTGTCAAAGTTTAGGGGTCAGTGTTGAAGTGTTATGTAATATGCCAGTGAAGGAAAGTGGTCAGGGGCTTTGCCAGAGCACTTTTCCTTAAAGAGAAAACTTCCTTTAAAATTAGTCTATTCTGACCTCACACAAAGGAGGATTTAGTTACTAAAATACCAAAAAGATCTCTTAAGTCTAACTCAGAGATAATTGCCCAGCCTGATGAGCCTTGAGGACATTGTAGCAAGAGTCTCCAGTGTTCAGTTTTCGAAGCTTATTTTTTTGGTAAGTTTTTATTGATACTTTACACGACCTTAGTATCCCGCGTATCTCCTCACGTCTTCTCCCCTTCCTACCTGCCTCCCCCGTCCATTCTCATAGAGCCGTCCCATAGGACAAATGGGATTTTTTAGAAAGGAAAAAGTCAACATGTTTTACGATGCATTGAAAAAGTTCCAAACCACGTGCAGTGCATGAAACCTGTGGACCCCTACTCCCTCTAAAGGACAGTGTGTGTGGGGGGGTTCTTCGCATCTCTCTCCTTTCGAGTCCCACTTGATCTTCCTAATTTTGTCCCTGCTCTGACTGGCGCTCCTGGTCTTCATTGTGATGAGAAATGTCCGCCAACAAAACAGGATTCCGTGAATGAGACAAGGCCAGAAGACTGGCTTAAACAGCGTGCTGTAAGAAAGCTAACGTGAGGAGCTCGTAGCTGCAGGGGTCAGGAAGAGCTTTAGGCGGTGTTGGCACAACTGGGCTGGATAGACTTTCAAACAGTAACAGGTGATGTTCTTGGCTAAAGTGTGTTCTTTCGTTCACAGCGCCATCATCATTTCTGGAGGACCAAATTCTGTGTATGCTGAAGATGCTCCCTGGTTTGATCCAGCAATATTCACCATTGGCAAGCCAGTCCTTGGAATTTGCTATGGCATGCAGGTATTCTTAGCATCAGTGCCAGCTTGAAATTAGGGATTTGTTTTGAGAGTTGGTTTATGTTTTAGTCTGTAGTTGCGGCTATACTGATAGTTTTTGTGCTTGTGAGAAAATATAATTTGAGGTCATTAAAAATTGTACTTCATTTAAGGAACCAACCACAGATTGCGATGGTTTAAATGAAATGTCTCTGCCACACTGGAAAACTTTGATAAACCAGAATTCTGGTTGGCCAGAAGGTAGAGTTTTATTTGGGCCCTAAGGAAGCCAGGGAGGTCAGTGGGCAGACCAGAGCAGACATAGCATTCCCAGCATGAAATAATGACTAAATTCTTTTAATTAGACCCCCTGAAATGAGATGAACTTGTCTGTCGCTTTCTGTGGTATATTCGTCCCTGTTCTGATATAAGCCTGGAGCAGTGTGTTCTAGGTTACTGAGACTTTGGTGGGAGGGCCGTGCTATAAGCAGAAACAACTTAATCATTTTGCTACTAGGTTTTATAAATGTTAAGGAACAGCCGCCACCTTTTGGCTAACTGGGATTTAATTTTATTCTTTGTAGATTATCCTGACCCTGGTTTTCTTCTTCCTCCTCCTGACCCCTTGCCCTTTCTCCTGATGTCTAGCATCTCTTCTGCCTGCTCCTGACCTTTGACCATTTTCCTGGTTGCTAAGCTCTATGAGAGATGATGTAGTAGATATTTGTTGGTATGGGGAGCAAGGGGAGAACCCCAGTGGGGTTGAAACTAATGAGCCAAATGAGTAATGTAAGATTTCTCATTTTACGTCTGATTCAGTCATATAATAGTTGTGCTGTGTTCATTGATTTTTTTTTCCCTCCCAATTCAGCTATTTTAAATCCTTCTGAGGAAAGGGGTAAATTTACAATTTCGGCAAATGGCCAAAGCAGGTTTGTTTGATCAAAATATGACCTATGCGTCTTAATATGGAAAGGATACTTGATTCAGAAAGGAAAGCTGTTAGAAATCAGCAAGTGTGCAGATCGATCTCTTTCCCTCTTAGCTAACTCACAAGGTTTGAAAATGAAGGGAGGAAATAGAAATCAAAGCTTTGCACATGTCCGAGGAATACGGATGTACTCATTGTTCTTGTTGGTGGTGGAGAGCACTGGCCTGTGAAATGCCTACATCCAATTTTGCTAAGTCGATGGCAGATTTTACTTGGATTAATTCTTGGGAAAAGAAATACAAACAGAAATACAATCTTAATGATCCACAGGCTTCCTTTAAGGCAGCATATCTAATAAAAAGGTTTTCGTATGCTGTTCACCTTTCTTTGGCATACGATAAAAATAGATCTTGATTTAATTCAACATTGAGA